TGCTGCCCTGAGGGGTTCAGAGGCAGAGACCACGCGGAAGCCCCTCAGGGCTGTCTCTAACCTCGTCACCCTTTGCAGCCCATGAGATGAAAGGCCACCTGTCCCTGTGCCTCCCCTGTTTCCCGGAGCCCGGCTGCGTGCCAGAGCCTGTGACCTCACCAATGACTCGCTCTCTGAAGCCTCCACCTCCTGGGCACCTGCGGTCCAGCGTCCCTCCCTGTCCAGAGGCACCTGTGTGGCAGCCCCCCCCTGTTCAGGCCCCTCCCCGGCCCCGGGCTTCCTTCCTGCTTCCTGGGACCAGAGGCCATCAGACCTGTGCCTCCCCCACCTCACAGGTGAGGGACCTGCGGCTCACAGGGAAGGAGCCAGACTGGCTCGGGTCACATGGCGAGGGCACAGCTGGGACTGGAGCCCTGACTTGTAGTCACTCGCCCTTCATCATCCAGGCCTCCAATCCGCCCCCTCACCACACAGGTTCACGTAGGGAATGGAATCCCTGTCTCTGTGGCGGAGCCCAAGGGCCATGGCCCCACCCTCCCATGGCTGGGGACACTGAGAGCCAAAACAGAACTTTGACAAAGACTTACATCTAATCAATGGATGTGGTTTTCATTGAGTAGAAAACACCACACAGAGTTAACATTCTTTAAAGCATGAAGACTGTATAGTGACAATTTATACATCAGCACACACCTCCCTCCCTCACTTTTTCACAGCTGCATAGTATTCCACTGGGTACCTGTATTAGATGCACACACCATGAAAGTCGCTCAGTGCACAGTTCAGTGGCTTTCAGTACATTCACAGAGTTGTGCAACCAGCACCAGAACCAATGTCATCACCCTCAACCCCCAACTCAGCCCTCAGGGACAGCAGAACTACTGTCTTTATAGATTTGCCTATTGTTGACGTTTCATATAAATGGAAGCACACAATGTGCTGACCTCTGCAGCTGACTTCTTTCACTTAGCACAGTGTTTACAAGGTTTATCTAGTTTGTAACACGTATCGTTTCTTTTTATCGACAAATGACACTGCACTGCCCGGATAAGCTCCATGCTTTCCGCATTCACCAGCTGACCAACACGGGGCTGTCTCCACTTTGCAGCCACCGTGGACTTTCCCGCACAGGTGTCTGCACGTGTCTGCATTTCTCCTGGGTCTGCACCTTGGAGTGGAAGTTTTCGATCATGTGACCTATTTTTATAACTTACTTATCTGGTCCCCCACTGATGTAAACTTTATCAAACTACATTTAAATGTTTTTTTCTTTATTGATATTAGAGAGAGAGAGGAAGGGAGAGGGAGATGGAAACATCAATGAGAGAGAACATGGACTGGCCACCTCCTGCGTGCCCCCCACTGGGGATCGGGCCCACAACCTGGGCATGTGCCCTGACTGGGAATCGAACTGGTGACCTTAGTGCATGGGCCAATGCTCAACCCCTGAGCCACACCGGCCGGGCTCAAACTACATTTTAAAAGCCAAGAACCCTTGCGAGTGAGGCAGATGGTGGTCACGTCAGCGAGGCATCAGGAGATGGGCCAGGGAAACGGTCGTTTCCAGCGCTGGAATAAACCCATTGGACGAAAGCTACTCCGACGGACCGTGGTCGGTGAGTCAGAGCGCTCCTCACGCCTGGCCGGGCCCACCGCTCCCTGACCCCTGCGGGCGGCCCGCGGCCCCGCGCTGCGCCTCCGCCTCCTCCGGGCTGGGTTTCCGAGTCCAGGAGACGGTCCAAGAGGAAGCTGGTGACTCCTGCCCATGGAGCTTCCTGGCTCTATGATAATGGGCCTCGGCCACACCTGCCCCTCTGCCCCGCCTGCAGCAGGTGCCAGACAGGGGCATTCAGGAGCCATCCGGGCTGCAAGCCGGCGCTCAGCCTCGGGGAGAGGCCCCCGCCACGCAGGCTGGACGGGCCTGGGCAGGGTTGGAGAGCCCTTGGCGCCCGCATGGCTCTCACCAGTCCTGCTGCTGTGGACCTGCTCAGACAGGGCCCAGCCAGGACGCTCTGCATCCGGAGCCCGCAGGAGACAGACGGACTTCAATTCTCTGACTGATTGATGAGACACAATTCGCCCGGGTCCTCTCTGCTAAGTATCCATTCGGTGCTGCCCTACCAGCCCTGGGGTCCCGTCCCTCCCGGCTCAGGACCTCAGCACACCTGCTTCAGAGAGGAGGTCCCCCGTCACCCCTTCCCGAGAGGAGGAGAGACCCCCAATGGAGCGTGAGTATTCTGCTGGGGTGGAGGATGGGCAGCCCCGGATGTTCTGGTCTGTGTCCCAGCCGTCCAGTGCGCAATGCCGCAGCGCCTGTGCGTTCTACAGGCTGTTTGCTGGTCCACCAAGGTGCCTAACTTACCTGTATCTCTTTCAAAATAGGAAGGTAGAGAACAATATACCTCACTCATTAATAGAGTGAGCGTCTGTCCTGTGGACAATGGACTGGTCTTACAGTCATGGAAAGTTCTGCAGGTTTTAGTTGGGTTGTTCTCATGTTTGAACATCTCATTCTGTAACGATTCCCAGAGCGTTCTCTGAGATCATACATGTGTTCCGAGTCTAAACGAGTCCTCCGGCCCCCGTGATGTTCACGGTGTACTTGGTGGGTTGATTCAAGTTTTAATAACGACAGGAATTCCCCCTTCTTTACACAAAGTTCGCATTCATTCCACCAACCGTGGTGTTTTCTATGTGCGACCAAGTGTATGTAATTAAATCTGTTAATTTGGGCTTTGTCAGACTGGTTTGTAGTTATTTTTAACTGCTTTGTAGTTATTTTTAACTGGTTTCTCCCTTCATCTAAAGCAGTAAGGTCCTTCACGAAGTCTATTAACTACCATGAAAAAGACCAGTCTCTCTGAATCTTGCATTAGCAAACTGAATTAGCAACACACGAATATCAGATAGAACGTATTTAGGGGGCACTTTTGGTCTCCCCAGCAGCAGGCTGTGTGTGGGGTCATCCTCTGACGTGTCTGAATGTTCGCACAGAGCGAGAAACGGGGATTGAACCAGTCCAGCTCCAGGGACAGCGTCTCTGTTTCACCCACTGCGTCTCTGGCTTTTGTCACTGCATTCCCACCGGCTCCTCGGGGACAGAAAACAGTTTTGAATTAAACAGCAATTAAGATCTTAATCTTCTGGCCTTGGAAGGGCACCGGAGCCTTTACCCAAGGGCACCGCACCAAGGAGACCAGGGAAGTGCCTGCTCATACCTTCCACTTTAAATTCATTTCTTGGTGAAAACAAACACCCATGGTGCACACTGCCAAAGGGCACCCGCGAAAAGTACATCTCCTTCCCCCACTCTCTTGCCCATGGGCAACCACGGGCACCAGTTCTGTGTATTCTCCCAGAGGTATTTCATATATCTCTGTAAAAGCCTCGAGCGGATAACATCCCCCCTTCCTGACATGGATGATTGCACATTATATCACAGTTGGGTTGCTTTTTTATGCACTGATATTTAGTACCAAAAACACTCTATTGCTTTTCTTTCTTTTTTTTTTTTTTGATCCTCACCCAAGGACATTTTTACATTCGTTTTCAGATAGAGATGGAAGGAGAAAGGGAGGAAGAGAGAGAGAGAAACATTGATGTGAGAGAGACACATCAATTGGTTGCCTCCTGCACAACCCCAACGGGGGCCGGGGATGAATGGCAATCAAGGTACGTGTCCTTGGCCGAAATCGAACCCGGGACTCTTTGGTCTGCGGGTGACGCTCTTACTGCTGAGCCATACTGGCCAGGGCTACTCTATCCATTGTCATGGCTGCATAGTACTCCCGGCATGGAGGTTCCAGAGTGGGTTAAACCATCCCCGAAGTTGATGCTGTCCAGACTGTTCTCAGGCGCAGTCATGGTCCCACGGTGACTGGCCTCAGCAGGCCCTATCCCAGGCCTGTTCCTGGGGGTGTTCAGGAGAGTCCACAGGCAGACATGCGAGTCGAGGGCAAGTGCACTGTGAAGCCAACACGCCCTCCAGGTGGGTGTGAAGCCACGCCCTCACTGGCGACTGCTCAAGCCTGTCCGCACAGTGCATTCTGAAACGCCAGGAATCTGCAGACCCGACAGGAACCAGCATCTCGCTGTGGTTTTAGTTTGCATTTTTCTTATTATGAGTAATATTGAGAAGCTTTTCTCGTGTTCAAGGTTCATTCCTTCCTCTATAATTGTCTGTATCCTTAGCACATATTTTCTGCTGGAGTTTTGGATTTTTTCTTCTAGAATTGAGAGCGATGAAGATAAATTCAGTGGTAGAAATGGTCCTTTTTCTCGTCGGCCACTTGTTCGTGGTTTCATAGTACGCAGGAACTTCACACGTTTCTATTCGCTGAGTTTAACTTTTATTTTTTTCTCTTCCCCCCCTCTGAATCTATCGGAAGGGGATAGCCCACTCAGAGATGATAAAGTAAAAAGATCCTACGTGATTTCTTTCTAGTAGTTTAGACGGTTTCTTTTTCATGTTATGATCTGATTTCTCTGCACTGGTGTCGGACACACCGCGAGAGCTGTGGGCCAGTGCCCCTGGGTGGCCCTTCCCTGCCCGCGCAGAGCGTCCCTCATTGCCACCCAGGTCCCGTGGCCGACTTCTGGTGGCTTCGCTCTGTTCCAGCGGCCCGCCTACGGTCAGCACCCCACTGTGTTGGCATTTCTAAGGGGAGACTTTCCCCGGGGGGGGGGTGCTGGTTCTTCAGAGCCCCCACACCCTCTGTCAAGCCCAGAGAGCCACCGCTGGGCTGGGGGTGAGGAAATACTCCTTCGTTCCGGAAAAGGGAAATGATTCTCCTGACTGGTTAGTTTCACATTTCTGGCTACTTTCCATCCATCACTCTTTCTTTCCAATTCGCCGTGAAGGTCTGCTTTTCAGTCCGCTTGTCCGTCTGCTGACACTTTGTCGCGATGGTGTCGGTTGATCACTTTAGGGACAACTGCCGTCTTCATGCTCCATCTCCTGTTCAACAACTTGGTGCCCTGAACGCCCTGATTTTCAGACCATGTTGACCCTCCACAGGGAAGGCTCTTGCAGAGGCCCTGAGGTCGGCACAACCCCACTGCCGCTGGCTTGGCCGGGGCGCTGGGTGTCACCGGGGTCTGTCTGTCTGTCTTTCAGTGGTCAAGTGGACTGCTCAGGGCGCCCCCAACCAGACGCGGGCCGGCCCTGCCCTGGGGCACCTGCTGAGGGACGCCGTGGAGGGGAGGAACGGCGCCAACTCCACCCGGGCCCTGAGGCTCCCAGACGGGACCAGCGCCGCCTGGTACATCCTCACCATCATCGGCATCTACGCAGTGGTTTTCCTCTTCCGGTTGGCCAGCAACATCCTCAGGAAGAATGACAAGTCCTTGGAAGATATTTATTACTCAAACCTGACCTCCGGACTCAACCAGAAGGGGCTCCGGGGCAAGGCAGCCCAGTGCTCCACGCTGACCCTTGGCAACGGAGCTGGGCTGCAGCCCAGCCAGGCCAGCCCGGGGCCCAGGCACGGACACAGTGGGCCCCAGCCCGGAACCCAGGCCATCCCTTGACAGGCCAGGCCAGCACGTCTCCACGGAAGAGGCTCAGCCTCCCCGGGGCGGGGGGGTGTGGGTGTGGGTGTGTGTGTGTGAGAGAGAGAGAGAGAGAGCGAGCATGCGCTCTGGGTTTACCTGGGCCAGTGAGACCGGAGTCAGGCCAGCCCGGGGCCCAGGCACGGACACGGTGGGCCCCAGCCCGGGGCCCAGGCCATCCCTTGACAGGCCAGGCCAGCACGTCTCCACGGAAGAGGCTCAGCCTCCCCGGGGCGGGGTGTGTGTGGGTGTGTGTGAGAGAGAGAGAGAGAGAGAGCGAGCATGTGCTCTGGGTTTACCTGGGCCAGTGAGACCGGAGTCAAGCCTTGAGTGGGGCTGAAAGACCATCCCTGAGCCCTGGGCACTTCTGGTGGGTGAAGTTGACAAAGCCGCACCCTGTGTCCTCCTCAGGCTGCCTGGTGCTTTGGGATGAGAGAGCAGGGGCAGCAGCTTCCACAGTGTCCCTTCCCTGGACATGCTTGCACCCCAGGAAGGCGAGGGACACCACTGTCCTCAGGACTCCGACACCCCCGGGGACCTGTGAGCTGGCCTCTTGTTCGGGAAAGAAGGCTGCAGTCCAGCCCTTGGATTAAACGTCAACTTCAGGGGTTACGTGAACTCGGGGTGGCCAGTGGCTTGCCTGGGGCATGCGGGTTGGGCTACAGTGTCCCAAAGGGCCAGTCATTCTAAGGACTCTGACGGGATACGGAGGCAAAGTCAGAAGTGAGCCAGATGTTGTGCATTTTCACTGGAAGAGCGGAGTCCACTGAACAACGTGTTCGTCTCGGAAGAACCAAGCTCTGGTCTGGGTTTCATCATCTACCAGTTTGGTCTGATCTTAGTTTCATTACAGATTCAATGAGGATAATAACGCCAGTTCTGGGGAACTTACAAAGTAGATACGAGCTAATGACATCACGCATATGAATAAATTATGAAAAATAAAATAAATACATAAATATAATCCTTGTGGTGTTGGTGGTGATGATGGTGGATACTGGTGTTGTTGTTGGTGTTTGGGAGGTTGATGTGGATGGTGGTGGTGGTGATGATGGCTGATGCTGATGGTGGTATTGGTGGTGGTGGTGGTGTTCAGGAGGTTGATGGTGGTAGTGGTGTTGGTGTTGTTGGGGAGATTGATGTTGGTGGTGGTGGTAGTGATGATGGCAGATGGTGTTATTGTAGAATGATATCTTGTGCCACCTTCTGTGCGGTCCGTCCACTCTGGCGTTTGGTGACGTCCCCTGGACTGCCAATGAAATACTCCCGTCTGCACACGTGGCCAACACCAGCCCCATGATTCTGTACAGGTCAGAATGAAACCCCAAGTGCTTGTTTCAAAGGGTGAGATAAACGTCCAAGTAGCCCTTCTTTTGTTCACCTTTTCCACGTGTCCGCTCACAGGTTCTCCACCAGCAGTGCTGCTTTGTGTGAGCAGTTGGGGCGGGGCTCCATCCACTCGTGCTGGGGTTTCCACACCAACAAGGACTTCTCCACCTCTTCAGCCCCAGCTGAGTCCCGGTTCAGTCCTGTCCCACCCTGGCAGCCCGGAGTTCGTGCAGACCTCACGGGCTGCAGGCTCGGTCCCACCAACCGCCCCCGTCACCTGTGTTCCTGACCGACTCACTAGAAATCAGGTTCCCACAAGCCCTCCTCGGTTTCGATAATTTGCCTGAACGCTCACGAAACTCAGGAAAACACTTGACCTCCTAGATTCCTGGTCTATGATGAAGGACACAACTCGGGAACAGCCAGAAGGAAGACATGCTCACCGCGTTAGGGAGGCGTCTGTGTGAGCATGGCTGGTTAAATCATCAGCCACTGGCGAGTAACCCATCGCCAGCCTTTCTCCCCTCTCCGGAGGTTGGGGGACTGGGCTGAAACCGAATCACAGGTGGGTTCCCCTGCCAGCCACCACGCCATCCTACAGCCACCTAGGGGCAAGCCAAGAGTCACCTGATTGGCATAAACTCAGGTACTGTTATTCATGAATAGTAAAAGGGACGCCCATCGCTCAGGAAAGTCCAGGGGCTCTAGACGCTCTGCGCTAGGAACCAGGAACGAAGAGCACATACATGCTTTGTATTACATCCCAGACGTGCAAAGGCCCGGGCACCGTACAGGGCCAAGGGTCCAGAGAAGCACAGTCTCCTGGGGAAGAGAGTGTCAGGGACCACTAACTGGGCAGGCTGGAAGAGCAAAGCTGGAGGTGAGCTGGGGCCTTGTGGGAGCAGGGAGGGAGGTAGGGGGCCCTGCCCAGAAATAGAGGGGTGATGTTGGGGATCCAGGAGACGTCACCCATCGGGGAGCAGGCATGTAGTGAACACCTCCCGCACAGGGAGAGGGTGAGGGTGGACCACTTTCCAAAGGAGTCCCGTGGGGAATATGAACATCGCCCCACCCGTGAGACTCCCTCCCAGGCCCCGCGGGGGGACAGCCTCCAGGCCGTGAACTCCGAGAGGTAAGCACGCCCGACGATCGCTAAGTCGGGCAGCATGTTACGACAGAACTGAAACACTGATCCACAAACAGCAGGGCAGGGCAGAGAGGAGCCTCGCGCCATCCACCCTCGGCATGGGCAGTGCCATCTGACACGAGGGGGGATTTAACGCAGTGAAACCGACCAGCAGGATTTTGTTGACGGGTCTCCAACGAAAGCCGTAAATACCAAATTAAGCTGCATCACTCCGACGACGTGGATTTCTGTTGCTGTCCTGTGTGCACAAATACTCAAGTTCTCCGGGAGTGTTACTGTACTTGCTATTTGCCAAGGAGACGCTGAGCTGTCTGCCCCCAGTCATGTTCTTCCTGGGTCGTTTGAGACCCTGATCATCTCGTGTGTCCTGCCCCAAGCTGCCACCAAGGCCCAGACAAGCCTTTATCAGCGCGAAACGCAGAGGGGAGCTGCCACTGCTCTGGGCCAGGAGCGGCCTGGATCCCACAGCCCCTGCCTTGCAGCCACAGCATTCTATTAGGAAGTTTAATTAGCAGAGCGCACGTTAGTGGGGGTCTCGGCTGGAGCCCAGGCTGCGCTCCCTGCGGGGGTTGGATGTGTCTGAACGAGCGTTGATGAGACTGTGCTCCAGGACAGAGCACAGGGGACAGGGGACAGAGGACAGCCCTGCTCCAGGGACAGAGGGCAGAAGACAGAGTTCAGGGGACAGAGGACAGCACCGCTCCAGGAACAGAGGACAGAAGACAGAGGTCAGGGGACAGAGGACAGAGGACAGCCCTGCTCCAGGGACAGAGGACAGAAGACAGAGTTCAGGGGACAGAGGACAGCACCGCTCCAGGAACAGAGGACAGAAGACAGAGGTCAGGGGACAGAGGACAGAGGACAGCCCTGCTCCAGGGACAGAGGGCAGGGGACAGAGGACAGCCCTGCTCCAGGGACAGAGGGCAGGGGACAGAGGTTAGGGGACAGAGGACAGCCCTGCTCCAGGGACAGAGGGCAGGGGACAGAGGACAGAAGACAGAGTTCAGGGGACAGAGGACAGCCCTGCTCCAGGGACAGAGGGCAGGGGACAGAGGACAGCCCTGCTCCAGGGACAGAGGACAGAAGACAGAGTTCAGGGGACAGGGGACAGAGGACAGAGGACAGCCCTGCTCCAGGGACAGAGGGCAGAAGACAGAGGTCAGGGGACAGATGACAGAGGACAGCCCTGCTCCAGGGACAGAGGACAGAAGACAGAGTTCAGGGGACAGGGGACAGAGGACAGAGGACAGCCCTGCTCCAGGGACAGAGGGCAGAAGACAGAGTTCGGGGGACAGAGGACAGCACCGCTCCAGGAACAGAGGACAGAAGACAGAGGTCAGGGGACAGAGGACAGAGGACAGCCCTGCTCCAGGGACAGAGGGCAGGGGACAGAGGACAACCCTGCTCCAGGGACAGAGTTCAGGGGACAGAGGACAGCCCTGCTCCAGGGACAGAGGGCAGAAGACAGAGGTCAGGGGACAGAGGACAGAGGACAGCCCTGCTCCAGGGACAGAGGACAGAAGACAGAGGTCAGGGGACAGAGGACAGAGGACAGCCCTGCTCCAGGGACAGAGGGCAGGGGGCAGAGGACTGAGGACAGAGGACAGCCTGCTCCAGGGACAGAGGGCAGAGGACTGAGGACAGAGGACAGCCCTGCTCCAGGGACAGAGATGCGGGGAGGAAGCTCAGTCCCCTCTCGGAGGCTGAGGACCTGGAAGTCCAAGCAAGAGCCCCGAGATTACGGTGGGGTGCTTATGTCCCAGGCAGGAGGTGGCACTTCCCCCCGAAGAACCTGAGTTTCATGGCAGACAGGTGAACACCTGAACCAAACCCATGGTACTGCCGGGAAGGGTGGGGACATGGAAGCCGGGAGGCGGCCAGGTGTCCGGGAGGCGGCCAGGAGGAAGGGAGGAAGCGAACATGTGTGGACACTACGGAGCGCTGGGCGCTTGGCTACACGAGCGGAGCTGGGCCCTCCTTTGCCCCAGGAGGCGGGGACTGCGGGGACTGCGGCCCCGAGAAGCTGAGGAGTCTGTCCAGTCAGACAGAGGTCAGGGCTGGCAAGAGTCCAAAGGCAGCCTGTCAGATTCCAGGGTCCGTGTGACGTTTCCAGCCGCGGTCCAGAGCATGCCTGTATGTTCACGCGGGGCGGACAGTATGGCTCTGAGTGCAGGTCGGCTGGGGCCCCAGCCACCTCCCGCTGAGACCAGGGTCCTGGGGCAGCGGTTTCCCGAAACATTGCCGTCTCCGTGCTGCGGGACGAGCTCGGGAGGGCCTCACCTGGACCGTGAAAGGCCGCCACCTGCCACTCACTGCTGGAATGAGCCCCCAGCTCCTCCCTCACCTACCACGGTCTGCACGGTGGTACGGAAACGCGTGCACAGAGCTGGACTGGTCCTCCAGCCAAGCTAAGGCCCGAGTGTCTATTCCCACCCGTCCGCCAGACTCATGTGCTGAAACCCCAACCTCCCCCGCGAGGGACTTAGGAGGTGGGCCTGGCGGGGTACTGGGATTGGGCGGGGTGCCCTCATAAGACACGAGATCTTGTCTCCTCCTCCCCCGACTCACCACCACGTGAGGACACGGAGAAGGCGGCTGTCTGTCTGCAAACAGGAAGCGAGCCCTCCCCGCAGCGGGTCCGCTGGCACCTGGGCCTGGACGTCCGGCCTCCCGAGCGTGGGCAATGGATGCTCTTTACGCCACACGCCCACCTCGGAATACAGACACTCATTCCAGCAGCCGCAAGGGGCTAAGCCACCATGTTCCTGAGGACCCTCAGGCCCGCACAGGGAGCAAGGAGGAGCCAGCCCTGTTCCCCATTTCTCTCTTTTTCACTCATAGAAAACTCAAATGTTTCTACATTCAGAAGTCTATACAGCCCTGGCCGGTTTGGCCAGTGGGACAGCGTCGGCCCACAGACCAGTGAGTCTCAGGTTCGATTCCCGTCAAGGGCACGTTCTCGGTTGTGGTTCTGTCCCCGGCTCTAGTCGGGGTCGTGCGGGAGGCAACCAGTCAGTGTGTCTGTTCCACATCAATGATTCTCTCTCACTCTCTCTCTCTCTGAAGATAAATGGGAAAAAGTATCCTTGGGTGAGGATTAAAAAAAGAAGTCTATATATTTACATGAGGGAAAAAAATTGTTCAGTTCCTTTCCTAACTAACCCTGAGGTCCCTGCCCCCCGCCCCCCTCTCTCTCTTACAGCCACATTCACACACATGAAGGAACAAGATCCAGTTTGGGGCGGATAAACCTCCCCCTTCCCTGGTCCAAGCTCTCATTCACACGCAGGGAGGGGGAAGGAGCTTGGGAAGGTGGGGGTGTCCAGCAATGTGAGGAAGCCCCCTCGGTCCCAGTCAGTTCTCCTTAGCTCTAGAAAGTTCATTAGACTTTTTTTCAAGGGTCCTTTCTGTAGAAAGGGAGAGGGGACGGGGACTCCTCTTGGGCAAGGAGAGGACACGCCGGTCCTCTTCCTGCGCCGCCTGTGCCGAGGTGGCACTGACCCATCCGGCTCCAGGCGAGGTGAGGGTCAGGCAGGATGCTGGTGCGCAGGGGCCCGCGCCTGCCCAGCACGGGTCCTCAGACACATGGTCACCCCCCCTTGCTGACAGAGCAGGGGCTCTGGGACCCCGCGTGATGGGCCCTCCCTGTGTGAGGGGAGACTGTGCTACTTGTCCGGCAGGGGTGGGAGGGCAGGGCCACCGAGGGGAGAGATGGGGCAGAGCTGTCCCCAGGTCTAGGGCCACACGGCCACTCCCTGCAGGCGTCCGGAGACCGGGCCCCGTGGCAGACTTAGGGGCAGACCTAGGTGGGCTGATCCTGGCCCAGACTTTCTCAGCTCCAGCAAGTCCAGTGCCCAGGTGATCGGGCCACAGGACTGGACCTGGGCACCCACAATGCCAGGGTGAAGGTGGCTCGGGGCCCTGGCCGGGGCGTGGGAGGAGGAGCCCAACATGCCCGAGTCCGGGGTGAGGGACTTAAATAAACAACGCTGATGTTTCCCACATGACTGCACTTGGGGAATAAAACCCCAACGAGCACACGTATACACCTATTTACACGTGTGGCAACTGCTGTAGTTTTATTTGGGGTGGGGTGCGACCAGTCCGCAGAGCCCCTCTTTTCTCTGGCGAGCATGGTTTCTGCTGGCAGAAGACGTCCAACAGCCCCGCAGCGGTGCTTCCTGAGTTGAGATTCCTGCCCTTCCACCTTCGAATGAATGAGACGTGCCACCGTGTTGTGCCGTGGACTGTCAGCTACCCGGGCAGTGGGGAAAGAAGTACTGCAGTGTCTCTAGACAGACAGACAGACAGATGGACAGCCCATCTGAGAGAGAAGGCTGTCGCCGGGAAGGTGGGAGGGTGCCTTCCGGGCTGGCAGGGCTCTGTCTCCCGACCTGAGCACCAGTTGAGGTTTGGCCCTGTCACATGGAGACATATCCACACCGCCCCCTGGCGGCCCCTCCATCACCCTCTCAAATCTCTGGGTGGGAGGTGACTGGAGGAGCCTGTTCTCTCTCAGGCCCGCAGGAGCCCCCTGGAACCCGCATCCGAGGGGGAACACCGGGCGGCACCGAGGGAGGGCGGGAAGGGAAGGGGCTCTGAGGTTCTGGCCGTCCGGGTGCAGGGGTTGGCTCCAGTCCAGGCCCCTGTGCCAGAGCAGGCTGCTTCCCGGTCCTGCCCAGGTTGGCCAGGCCTCTCCCGGGATGTCCTCTGCAGGGGTGGCTGCTGGCTGGGCACTGGGTCCCCCCTGCTGGTTCCCCTTAGGCTCCGGGATTCCACCCGGCCCCTCCCAGGCCTGTGCCCTTCTAAAGAGGAGACATCAGGACAGGAACATGGACCCACACGAAGGACCACGTGCGGACAGAGAGAAGGCTCGCCCTGCAAGCCGAGGGAGGAGAAACCAGGCGGGCCGACACCTCGACCCTGGACTCCACCCCCCGAACTGTGAGAAAGCGAGTGTCTGTCTTTTCAGTCGGGCAGCCTGTGCCACTGTTACGGCAGCCCTAGCAAACTAATCCAGTTGCCCGTCCCTGTCCCACACCTATGGCGACGCACTGTCCCAGGTGCATTTCACAGGGATGACGTCTCTCCCAGGTCATACAAGCGCGAAGGAGCGGTTCTGCGCACGTGTTCCGTGATGTTCGCACGTCCGGGGACGGCCCGGCAGTAACAAGGCCCTCTGTGAGGTCACCACCCTGGCCAGAGCTCCGCCCGTGGAGACGTGGCAGCCCTTCAACAGAGGAGTCAGCATGCCTCACCTGGCACCCCCTCTCCTGAGGAACATCATCCTCAGAGGCCCGTCTGATGGCACCAGGAGGCAGCGGTGCCTCCAGTATCTGACAGCTCTGAGGACGCTGCAGTACGACGGCTTCAAGACCGTGTATCTTGGGGAAACGGACATCCCTGAGAATCTGGTAACTGGGGAAGAGTTCGGTGGTGGGCATCTCCCGCCAGGCCCCACCTGGTGTGTCGTGCACGCCGGTGGCAGTCACGGATGGGTGCCGTGGCGATACCGGATATTCCTGAGGGACGAGCTAAGCATCAGACCAGAGGGCAGCCTCTTCCTTGAGTTCTGCGACGTGGTGAAGAAGGCCTACGGGAAGTGTGCCATCGTGGTCAAGGACAGAAGGCCGCCGGAGAACATGAAGCCAGAGGACAAGGAGCCGGAGGCCGGGGCCCACGTCCCCTCGGCCGTTAACTTAACGAGCATCGCCTGTTGCCCGGAGGTGGCCAAGTCCCGCGGCCATGAGCTGCTGCCCCTGCCTTCCCTGTACAGCTACCTGAACCCTCTAGACTTAGCCTGGTCTTCTCTGAAGTGGTTCATCATCAACAACCGGAAGGAGTTCTCTCTGCAGTCCATCGACAGCATCTCCTCTTACCAGTTCGTGCTGTTCAGCGACTTAATTAGCAGAGGGGTGGGAAGGATAAACCCAAGCAAGTGGAGAATGCTCATTAACAAAGTGCGGAGATGGGAAAACTACTATCTGGGTAAGTTTTCTTAAGGGCGAGTCCTCCGACGTGCAGTGAGACTGTGCTGCAAACATGGTCGCTACCGCCCGGCTCGTGGGGGCTCGACCCGGACTGCTGTGGCCACAGGCACCCCGACGGCACCCCGACAGCACCCCGACAGCGCCGTGAGGACCGAGACTCCTACGGGTGCGGGCAAAGCGCTTCAAGCTCATTAAAGCTTCTTGGAAATGAGGGGTCCTGACTCCGCCTGGTTAAGGTGACTCGAGGGCTAGGTCAGCGGTGGGTTGGGGCCACTCCGCTAAAAGGAGCCGGTGGGGAGCAAGGTGAGCGAAGCTGAAGATAGTGTGGTTGAAATTTAGGTCTCCAGAAAAAGAGACCCCCCAAATGTGCAGGGCCCCCCAAAGTTGAAATTAAGTAGCGTGCCAACCAGTTTCAGACCCCCAAACAATCCACAGGGAGCCAGCACGCCAGCTGAAGGGGTGTCCAGACGGGGGCCCAACAGGCTCCTTGCCCCCCGCTTCTGAAAGCACGGTGGCCAGGGGGAGCAGCAGCCAAGGAGGGGAACCCCGTCCAGGCACCGCAGGGCAAGCTGGCGGCCCCAGTCAGGGGCCCGAAAGCTATGAATGAGTGCTTCGGGTGGGACTTGGAGGGTCCAAGGGGGCGTGACCGGGGTCTGCAGAGCCCACTCAGGCAGTCCATGTCCCACCCTGACTCCAAGGACCCCCCGGCAGGTCACCGGGTCCCCCTGAGGCTGCCACAGCAGCTCCCTGTCCACGTCGGGGCTGCTGCTCACGTAGGCTGTAAGGATTTAGGGTGGTGCTTTCCACTTGTCTAGAAAAAGCCCTGCCTTTTAGTAACTACAAAGTTCATTCCTTTAAATATAGATTTATATATATACTTTCTTACCGGTTTTAGAAAGGGAGGAAGGCGGGGGCGGAGGAGAGAGAGAGACAGACATCAATCGGCTACCTCCCGTATGCACCCCAGTGGGGGATTGAACCTGCAACCTGGGGACGTGCTCTGACTAGGAATCTAACTGGTGACCTTTCGTTGTGTGGGACAACTGAGCCACCCAGCCAGGGCAAGTTCACTCTTGTTTATACGTGTTCAGACAGTACTTACACAGCAGAGGTAGTCATACTGCGTGTGTCCAAAGCAACCTGTGAGCACGCCTACCCAGGCCCTGAAGACCCACGACGTGCGGGCCTGGGGCCGGGTTCCTGGCAGCCAGGCACAGACGCCAGGGACCCCGCGTGTCTTCCTGCCCTGCGTCCCTCCCGAAGCCCTGGGTCATTAGGCAGCACTGTGTCGGGTCAAAACAGGTCCCATGCTATCTGACACTCCGTGGTGACCCTGTGTGGCCTTCCGTCATCACGCGTTATCTGGGGGTGACACACGCCTGCAAAGCCAACCACGCGGAACCAGGGGCCCGGGCAGTTTAGTAGTTGCCCATCCCACTTGACGGCCACCAACCAGCACTGTGGTGTCCTGGGGCCACACACCCCGTGGCCTAAACAACAGAAAGATTCTCGCCCAGTTCTAGAGGCCTGATGTCTGAGATCAGTTTCACTGAGTCAAAATCAGTGCCTGCGGGGCCACGCTCCCTCCCGAGGCTCTTGGATAATCCGTCCCGCCTCTTCCAGCTCCCAGTGGCCGCCACGTTCCGTGGCTTGTGGCAGCCTCGGAGCAATGTCTCCTTGGCCACGTGGCCTCCTCCTCCTCTGTGTAAATCTCCCTCTTCCTCCCTCACAGGGGCACCTTTGCCATTGTGTTCAGACACCTCCCCTAGACAATCCAAAATCACCCCCTCACCTCAAAATCCTTAATCACATCTGCAAAGAGCCCTTTTCCCTGGAAGGTACGTTCACGGGTCCCAGGGGTTAGCATGTTTGGAGCCGGTATTCAGCCGACCACAGTGTACCCCCTACCGGCTGTCACCCTGGAAACAAGTCCATCAGGGGCTGTACGCGCAGCTACACATGCTCCCGTTTGATCCTCACCATCTGTGATGCAGGAACTGCTTCCATCTGCACTTCTCAGACGGGGTAAACCGAGGCAGAGACGCGGACCCACGCCCAGAGCCATCGTCCACGCTGCGTCTACTCTGAGCGGCTTGTCCAACCCTAACAGCCGTCGGGGAGGGCCCACCACCGCCCCATTTCAGACGAGGAACAAACTCCCAGAGGCCTCCCCACCGTGTGCGGCTCGGCTCTCGAAGCCCTTTCTCTTCACGTGGGTGAGGCCCGCCTGACATCGAACCAGACCGACTCTGGCCAAACTGCCACGGCCACCGGGACAGCAGCACAGAAACGACTCCGCACCGGCAGAGCGGGAGGCAGGCCTCCTGCAGACGCGCCTGTGCAGTGAGCAAGAAAGGAGGTTTGTGGGTGATCGGATAAACCCACAGAGCTGTTGTTTGAACAGCAAACCGTCTACTACCACGTGTTTAGGGTTCAGTTCTTCCGTGGCCGTGTTTAACCGTGACAAGGGTAGGGGAAGAGAACGTCCCTGCAGCAGACGATCCAAAGGGTAGCTGCGGGAGGGGCACGTTGGTGCGCCGTAGCTGCGGGAGGGACACGTCGGTGTGCCGTAGCTGCGTCAGGCGCTCACACTGGAGGAGAATGGCGCTTGGACAGTCCCAGCAGAGGAGTGGGAGGTGCCCTCGCCCTGGGGTCCGATGACAGCTGGAATCTCCTTTCCAGCTGCTTAGCTCTGGTCACGTTACTTTGCTTCCGTCCCCGAGGCCCAGCGAACGAACCACCAGTGAGGGTTGAGGGCGCTGACCTGCGCCCCGGGATCGTGGCGCTCCTGCCGCGTGTCCACATTTAGGCCTCACACCGCTGACGCCATTTCCTTCTTGCTCTTTGAGGGAAACCCCTCTTTTATCACCAGGCCCCAGAACAGACACAGCTGAAGCCAAGGACACAGTTCTGGGCCTTTAAGACCATCCGCAAGGAGTTAGGAAGGAAATACTCCGGTGGGTGGACTCGTGAGTACTGCGCGAATCTCCACAGGAGCCGCCGAGTGTCGTGGGCTGTGGAATGAACGGCGGGCGATGACAGCAACCCTGCATGTGTGGACAGGTGCCCGAACAGATCCATGTGGTCAGTGGCGCTGTTCTCCTTCCACGGTTGGCTGATGGGAGACCCACCCTCCGTGGCCCTCGCCGTCAATGGCTACATCCCCACTCCCTTCTGTGGGCCTTCGTGACCCCGAGATGACGGCAGGCACTGCCCTGGAGAGCCCCGAGGGGAGTGGGCCCATGGGGCTGGAGGCTGCCGCCCTGCCTTGCCCACCGAGGAAGGTCCAGCCGGGGCTGCTGCCCACCAGGCGAGCACTCTCCTTCCACCTCGCTGCTTTACGAATACCAGTGTGCACACTGGACCTCCGTCAGACGAGCCCTTGCACACAACCGATGCAAGCAGGTGGTGCTAGGTCAGAATGTGAGGGGCAGAGACCTAACCCCAGAGCTCTGAACAGAAGGACCCCCCACCTCCACGAAGTGGCAGTTCAGGGCTAATGACAGTCCATGGTCATCACGAGCCCAGGGACCCATGTCTACTCCTGTCCCACTGTTCCCTCCTCAGTCACTTCTTTGTCCAAACTGGCTTTGGAATCAGCCCCTGCACACCCCCCCTCCCAGAGCACAGCCTCCCACCTGGGTAGAGACAGGGAAAGGCCGTGGGAGGAGGAAGAGGAAGAGTGTAGGGAGGGTGGGTCAGCGGGTGGAGGGGGGGGTGAGGGTGAGCAGCCGGGGCTCCCTCCCCAAGCCTCTGCCACAGCCCAGCTCAGCCCTCTGGGGGCGGTGGTGGCACCTGCCATGGGGTGTGGGTTTGCAGAACCCCGTGCTGTCACAGTACAGGGTGTGTGCGTGAGACACACACACACACACACACACTCCACTGGCATATTCCAGAGACCAGAGACGTCCTTTCAAAGGTATTTTATTAAAGAAAAGACTGGTTGTTTTAAAAGCACGTAACAGATCACATAAAGCTAAAGCTACAGCTGGGATTTGTCCTGACACCACTCAGCAAGCAGGAGTCTCCTCTTCCTGCTCGGCTGGAGTCCGCTGGAGCAGACGTGCACGTGAAGTCTCGGGAAGACGACGCAGGTGAGCAGGAGCCGTCTGAGAGGCGAGCATCCAGCCCTCGGACCCGACTCCACTGAAGCTCATGTTAACGAAGGCACCTTCCTTCTCAGAAAAGGGACCATGTCCCTGTACCTTCAGCACAATTACCCTTCCGTCGAAAAATCCCTTCTGTTAAAACCAGGCTGGGAGGGGACCCACCCCAGCTCTGAGCTGTCAGCACCCCCCCACCCCACCCCCCGCGGAGCAGCCTCTGGTCTTCCCGGGAGGGAGGAGTGTGTGTGATCACAAGTTTCCACAACTCACTCAACGTTCCTGGGTAAACAGCCTCCCTCCTTGAATGTGGGTGTGCTCCCTCTTCCCCACCCACTGCTAGTCCTGTTTCAGCCGATGAAACATCTCTCTACAAAGGTGAGTTTCCATGACAGCCCTGCCGTGCCTGGCACAGGCCTGCAGCTCCGAGGGCAGTGAGTGCCGGCTGAGATGGGCCGGAGCTCTCCACCTGGGCCATGCCAGCGCCCCGTGCCCGTGCCGGGCGAGGCCCAAAGCCCTCACAGGTTGCACCTTCACCACGCGCAGCGGAGCCATCTGTTGTCTGAATGGATCTCGGGGGTCTGTCAGGAGCAGGAACAGCACCGCCGGGTGTGAGATGCTCAGCAAAGCGCTAGCACGCGGTAACCACGCAGTGTCGCAACTGTTGTTAACAAGCGTGCGCTCACCCTCAACAGTCCGAGAATGCCGTCAGAGAACGCATGTCGGCAGAAGCGCGGGGCCTCGGGGGCCAGGGCCCTGGGCTCTGCAGTCCCCCGCGCCGGGAGGGTCACGGCTCTCAGAACCAACGCCCAGACCACCGCAGACTAATGACATAGCTTGCTGGCTGGAGCCCAGGAATCTGCGTTGTAACAAGCCCCCGGTCGGGCAGCTCTGGTCACCGGCCACCACTGTCCTGGAATCCCCTGCCACCACAGCTGAGCCCTCTAATTCTTACAGAAGCACAGAGCTCGGCTTGATCGATGAAGAAACTGGACCAGCAGCCAGAATGAGGGGAGCTGCTCCTCGTCACACGTTCAGCCTGTAATGGGGTTGAAGAACAACTTTCTGATCACTCAACTCAGCACACGTGCTCTGGGCACCTCCTGTGTGCAGTGACGGGGGCCGGGCACCCCGTGTGCAATGACGGGCGCCGGGCACCTCCTGTGTGCACCATACAGGCGCTGGGCATGTGTGCAGTGTGACAGGCGCCGGGCTATGACGATGCCTAAGACTTCGTGCCTGGTAGGAGGTCCTCTGGAAGGGCCCTCTGGCCAGGAGACTAACAAGCAAAGGCCGAGGGAGGGGCATGTGGTCAAGAACGGCTGGTAGGGATCCGGGGAGTGGCAGCAGAGGGGCAAATGTGTCCTGGGTTAAGGACACACTGAAAGGGATTCCTATGCCCCACCTAGAAGTCAGACTTTACCCTGAAGATAGACAGCAGGGTCTCTTAATCTGAGGTACAGGTGGGGGTTTCAAATGGCCTGTGACCCACCTCCTCACCACCCACATCTGCAATTTTATGTGCAACAGTAGGTGTTTCTAGTAAGTGTGCTCCTCCAAATTCTGTGCCCTGTAACCCCCTAGCCATCAAGCACCACTGCTCCCAATGAAGAACCATGCAGGTAGTGTGAGCTAATCATGTGCTCCCAGCTCAGCAGCACGGGGTGCGAGGGTCAGGCCCTGCACCCCACTCCCCAGAGCCGGCCGCCCTGACCCTCTATGTCAACTTACAGAGTCCCAGCACCTTTGGCTTCCCTTCAGTTATCTTTCTTCTCCGACTGCTTCTTCTTTTCAGCTTCCAGTTGTTGCCGTCTTGCTTCCAATCTTTTCCTTTGGTATATTTTGGCTCCGGCAAACGCCAGGCAGAGAATCAATGTTTTCGCCGCCAAGATGTACAGCAGCAGGGGCACGCGGTCAAGAACCTGCGAGAAGAAAGCAGCCGTTCCAGCGTTTGACGTCGATAAGAACCGTCCGTTCCTTCATCAAATGTTTCCCCTGCAACTACTACATGACAGCCACGAGGCCAGGACAGACAAGGTCCTGTCCCATGTCGAGGCAAGCTTGCGTGAGCTCTGCCCGTCCGATGCCCCTTGCTTCTGGCTTCAGGGGCAGGCCCGCCAGTGGCTGCGGAGCTGTAACCCTGGTCTTTCCCACCTGACTGCCCAGGCGCCCTGCTTCGGAGGCAGTGGCGTGGTCCAGTGCAAGGAGCCAGAGCCAGGGGACAGCTCTGCTCGGCCACTGACCGCCTCTGCCTGGGGTCCCCTGACTGTTCTGAGCTTCTGCCTCTTCGCCTTCGAAGGGAGGCCGGGCCAGACCTTCTGATGCTCCAGCTGTAGCACACCAAGATCTCCTCTTGGGCCCCCACGCATTAGCACTGCACTTGCAGACAAAGTAAATACAAAAACACTGTAATACGACACGACTCAAAATTGTATTAGGCACTTATTTCCTGTCCCTGTAATTTCCTGCTGGGGGGGAGTCTTAGTGCATTGGCTAGCATGGAATCTGGGAATAACTATGGGTTTGAATCACTCTTTGATTATAAGATTCTATACAGACTAACAGTATCTCAAAGCAAATCCTATACTAGTTTTTTATTTTATTTTTTTCTTTATTGATTTGAGAGAGAGAGGAAGGGAGAGGAAGAGAGAGACAGAAACATCGATGAGAGGGAACATCGACTGGCCGCCTCCTGCATGCCCCCATTGGGGATCGGGCCCACAACCTGGGCATGTGCCCTGACCGGGAATCAAACCAGCAACCTCCTAGTGCATGGGTCGATGCTCAACCACTGAGCCACACCGGCCAGGCTCCTATACTAGTTTTGCAAACAAAATTAGTATGATCTGAATGACGTAAGCATTTAGTGTGATTAAAAATTCCTTCCCAAATAAAATGAAGAGACACTTTTGTGGAGTAATGAATGTTCTAGCGGACTAGGTAGGAATCATTCCAATTAAATCATTGGGTTAAACCACCAAACATCACTTATTATATTTAAATGCAATAATGAGATCCTACTACGGGGAATACATTTATTTCTCCCTCTAAAATTTTAACTCAAGTTGACCTGCAACTACTTGGTAAAACCTCGGCTGAGAACAGTACGCTCCAGACCCGGGGCTGGGACCCTGAAGGAACCACCACAAGCAGAACAGGTAAGGGCTTCCGTGTTCACTCTCTTCTGGAAGGTTCCAGAGAGGCGTGGCAGGAGGCAAGTGTCGGGACTGAGGGCAGAGGGGCAGCAGCGGGGTGGAGGGGACCCCCAGGGGCGGCAGCGGGGCCAAGGGGACCCCCAGGGGCGGCAGCAGGGCCGAGGGGACCACCAGGGGCGTCAGCGGGGTCCAGGGGACCACCAGGGGCGTCAGCGGGGTCCAGGGGACCACCAGGGGCGTCAGCGAGGTCCAGGGGACCCCCAGGGGCGGCAGCAGGGCCGAGGGGACCACCAGGGGCGTCAGCGGGGTTCAGGGGACCACCAGGGGCGTCAGCGGGGTCCAGGGGACCACCAGGGGCGTCAGCGAGGTCCAGGGGACCCCCAGGGGCGGCAGCAGGGCCAAGGGGACCACCAGGGCCAAAGCGAAGGTCGCAGGGCTCCGTTCCTGCCTCAGGCACTGGCCTTCATCCGGTGGAGCGCCTCTGATCTCTAACAAAGCCCTCACGTGAACCCTCCAGGCGTCAAGCCTTAAAGGAGGCAAACGGCCACACCTTCCACACCATCGCTGGGACGGGCCAGCGCCACACAGATGGTTTCAACCAAGCCCAACCCCCAGGCCAGGAGAGCTCCCAGGAGGAGGCCACAGCGCTGCTGGTGTCCCTGGGCCGCAGCCCACCTGCTCTCTGCTGCTTCCCTCCATCCTCGTGCTGCCTCATCTCCCTCCCAGCCTCCCCGTGAGCTCTGGACCCGGTCCCGCGAAACAAACATTCCCACATGTCCACCTCGTCACGGAATCCACTCTGTCTCCTCAACTGTGCCCAGGCTCTTCCTGGAGGACAGTCCCAACGGCCCTTCTGCAGCCCCCGGCCCCATGCTCCAAGCAGCTGGGAAGCAGGGGGTCTGTACTCTCCCAGCTCCCCGATCCTGCTTCCAGACCCTCCCAGACCTTCTTGCAATAGAAACCTAGGGGATGTTTCAAACAAGAAAATGCTAATAATAATTGGAAAAAATACATACGTTTACATATTTGGTGAAAATCTACCAAAATTGTGCATAGTACCTCTCTGGATGGTATGACGACGCACGATTTCTACTTTTCAAAGTATCTACAATAACATTGTTTTTAGTGGCTGTGCTGCTACCAACCTCCGGCTAACCCCACTGCTCCGGGCTCTCACGGGACAGGGCCACTCCTTTCCTGCAGACACCTGGCCAGCAGGCTCCTCCGCGCTACCCTTGAACGTCCTCCCGGCAGCCCAATCTGTCTTACAGGGCCCGGTCCTGTCCACTCCCGGCCAGGCTTGCTGTCCTTGACGTCATGGTGGATAATTTACTTGAACACACTGATGAAATATGGCTCTGTAAGACCATGTCCATGAAAACCAAGGGTTGGGAAAGAACCCACACTTGTTGGCAACACAAACAAACATTAGGGAAGAAGAGCATAAACATCTGGAAAGATTCTGTGTGCAGACAGCTTCGTGAGAGCTCAGTCCACTGGAAAGAAACCAAGATGTGAACCTAAGTGACTTCGAAGGCGTGGGCTTCGCAGACGATGAGGTGAGCAGACCTGGTCAGCGGGCACCTCGGAGAAGCCCGGCCTCTCCCACACATCTGGTGAGCGTGAGCGCACTTGTATGTTTTAACTTAAAATAAAAATTAACTATTATGATGATGCCTGTTTGAATCTACTTTTTCTTATTCTGAATTTTTACAATCAGGAGAAAGAAAAAACCCGAGCCCCCAGTATTTACAACCAGTCACCTCCCAGTTCATGCTGGACCAACTGCGAAGTCGCTCCCGGGCAGCGCAGATCCCGACAAGCTCATGAGGAGATGGGAGTCAGGCCTCGCTGGTCTGCAGGGGAAGAGAGGACACCGGTCAGCTGGAGTTTCCAGAGCAGACGCCTTAGGGAGACTTCTCTGATGAAGAGAGAGGGCACATGAGCCAAGGCCAAGCTCCGCAGAGGAGGCTCAAGTGTTCCCAACAAGGTGACCCAGAGCAGGTGGCCGCGGTCAAAGCTGAGACGGCTCGGCTCTTGTTGAGCAGAAAGAGCTCGGCTGCCCTCTGCCAGGGACGGGAACACAGCCCCAAGCAGAGGGGGCAGAGCTGCCCTGAAGGGGATACGTGCTCCCATTCCAGTCACCTGGGGACATCCGGGCCCAGGTCCTCGTCAGTCCCTCCCCCACCTCGTGGCTGCACCAGAGCTGCTCCGCAGATGAGACTGCTGCTCAGGTCCCGAGTGTTAATTAAGCAAATCCAGGTTTTCAAAAAACATCTGGAAGGGACTAAATGATAGGGGGAAAGTTGTCCCAAGAAAGCAGTTCCTATCTAGAACTCGTCTCAATGTGAGGGAGACCGGGGAAGGTGAGGCAGGACTGACGAGGCAGGGACACAGCTGGAGCACAGGATTTGCTCTGAGGTCCCGTCTGTCACTATTTTGAGACTGTGACACATACCCTAAGAGTCAGAAGACCTGAGTTCTGGATGAAGAAACAACACACTCTGGTGACTTCCCTCTTGGGGCCTTGGGCCTGTCTATAAATGAAGAAAAGGGGCATCAACTCGATGGGCTCAGGGCCCCCACTGTTTCTGAAATTTGGAGGCTGACGGCATAATAACCATGGCTTCACTCGGTGGCGTCCAGCTAGGCTGAAGGGCATCAGATGCATTCACTGGTTTAGTCTTTCCACAGTGAGGAATGGTTCTGTCTCCACTTCAGAGACCAGGAAACAGAGCGTTTAGGTAACAGGCCCAGGGTCACACAGCAGAGAACTGGGATTCGACCCCTCCAGTCTGGCTCCAGTCTTATCCTGATATAAGCAGAGAGCTCTACACTCAAAAGTCACAGGGATGCTTTACTTTAAACATACTTACAAATAAAATGAAGAAAACAGCAGAAAGTTTCACAGGACTTCAGAACTCCGGGGAAAATGTTTTATAAAAACTTTCACTTACAAAAGTATCAAAATATAGAAAGTTCAGCCCTGGCTGGTGAGACTCGGTTGGGCATTGTCCTATGCACTGAAGGGCTGCCAGTTCGATTCCTGGTCAGGGCACATGCCTGGGTGTGGGCTCAACTCCTAGTGGGGGGCGTGTAGGAGGCAGCTGATCAATGTTTTGCTCTCACATTGATGTTTCTCTCTCTCTCTCTCCTTTAATCTCTAAAAATCAATAAAAATAAAAACACTTCATCTATTCAAGGTCACAATATCTTAAAAACAAGCTGGGTGTTGGCACAAGAGTGCCAAGTTTCCCCCATGACTTTTCCAAAGTCCAATAAACAGTAGGAATTCACACCATAAGCTGTTTAAATGTGCTGACGGATTGGAGGTGCACATTACCTTCCTGTACCAACGCTCTGCTTGTCTTTAAGGAGCAGCAGGTTCTAAGCTGTACTTAAGTACGTTCCTAGCATGTTACAACCTGTTGCTAGAATTTCCACTTGGCATAATCTCTAATAATCTCAGGGATTAGCCACACTGTAAATGAAAATAAATGTTTAAGGCTGTGTACACTTTATTTTTACAACTCCTTTGACTGAGTTATGTATAAACAGTAGGTGAGCATGGCTGTTCCCCACTACATACCTAATGAACTGATGGAAGATTTGACTCCCAAGGTCAAGGACAACAAATAGGTCCAAAACACTTACAGGAGGAAATAAATTGAAAAGAACACCCTGTGGGCTGGCCCTCTGGCAAACAGGGACAGCAAGTCCTCACATAACACTGTCAGCTGGGTGTGGGACTTAAAGCGAAACGACATAAAACGAAACCAATTTTACAAGAAGCTAATTAACATAAGCAAGAGTGAAGTTCCTACATCTCATCAATGTTATAATGAAACATTGCACAAAACGACATTATTGGAGGATCTGTTGTGCTATGTTTACTAGTGGTGTGACCTTGGACAAGTCAGTTAGCCTCTTAAACCTCAGCTCCCTCATGTGTAAATTCTCCTTCCAGACTAGATTATAAACACTAAGCACCACGCTCAGCACATGAAAGTACTAAGCACCATACATATGGTGATGACAAACCCCTCTCCTTCCACTAATGGGCATGCCAAGCTGAAGAACTTAAACAAGTGGCATCCAGGGCAAATTGCAGTCACTGCAAGACAGCAGGCCGGTATAAAGAACCAGAAGATCAGGAGAACTGCATCTGGACTCTATTCCTGGTGGCACCAATGGCAGGGCATGTGACCTGGGGCAAGTCATTCACAACTTTGAACTAAAGTGTCCTCATTTTAAAAATCAGAATCCAAAGAACAATTCTGCAACTCTGGAATTCGGAAGTCACCATTCTCTCTGATGTCACGGAATCGGGCTGTAAAAATATACGGGCAACTGCCTTAACTTCACACCTACAGTAATAAAATTCAAGCTCTTTAGGGAAGAAACATTTAAAGTCAACCTGCAAATAGGGGTAGGAGTGCGCTGAGGGTGGGAGACCAGAGGGCAGATCAGTTGGCTCATTCTCACCCACGGCCTCCAAATTACGTTTCCCCATCTCCCTTAATTACAGGCTCCAACTCAGCCAGTTTGTAGCACTGCAAGACTTCAGCAAAGGAAAACAGAATGCTACAAATACCAGCAGGCTGTCTGCTCTGATGCCATATATACACCTGATGCAAAATTAGACACAGGAGGTAGCTGGCATCTGAGAGGTGAACTGCCACCGCCAACAAGATGGGGACAATTTTGAGGCATAAACTCAGTAAGTGCAGGAAATTTTAATCTTCCTCTGGAACTATTCAGTCTTAGCTTGAAACTCAAACATAATGGCTTAGATAGAAACGGTTCTATTTCTTTTACTGCAAAAATATCCTTTTCTTCTTTTCCTTTGCCAGATTTCTCGAGAAACAGAAAAGCTACCCGCTGATTTTGGTTAGACCAGTTAGAGCGATATGGACAGTGTACCATCCACTCTACTTTTTTTCTTGGCTCACCTAGCAGTCTCAGGGTGGCTGGTCTCTCCCTCTTTTGTAAACTTATGCCGGCCACTAATCAGGCTGTGTCCTTAGTATCAGCTTTCCGAAGCTGTTCTCTTTCCCAGTCTCCACCCTTTTCACCCCAACCCTTCACCCGGTCATTTGAAGCAGGTGAGGGGAGGAGGGGGTCCCAGGTGAACTTTGGGCATCACGTGGTCGACCTCTGGGCCCTACTCCCGGGTCAGGCGGGGTTCCCTGGGCCAGACAGCCTGGGTCTCAGCTCCTCTGTAACCCGGCCAGGGTCCTCCCCGGCCCGACACTTAGGGAACAACACCTGACCCGCTCATACCCGACGATGAGGGCCAGGGGCGGCCACTGCTGCCCCCACCCTTGCATAGAACAGGGCGTCAGGAGCATCGCTCGTCCCCCAAAGCCCTTGGAGACCAACACTGTCCGGCCAGTACCAACTCCGGGCCCTTCCCGGGCCACGTGCCAGCCTGAACACGCCATCCCAGCGCCTGGTTTAGGGATTTCGCGGCGCCGGGACGACCTAGCCAGGTAGGCGCGCGAGTGGGGGCCGTGGCGACGGTCACCCTCCAGTCCCCACCCGGGGAGCCGGCGCTGTGCAGCCGAAAGCCGACTGGCGGGCATCCTGGAGAAAGCGCGAACGCGGGGCCGGCCGCCGGACACTGCTGCGCCCCCAAAGAGCCCTCGGGACTCGGGTCAGGATCCCGATGACTCAGACGTCACCCACTTACAGCTCCAAGCCACGGGGGCTGCGGCGCCCGGCGGGCATGCACGCCAGGACTCCCACAATGCCGCGGGGAAACCACACGTCCCGAAATGCACCGCTCCGCGCGCCGGCGCAGTGGACCCGAGCGGCCTTCGTGAGCGCACCGCTCCGCGCGCCGGCGCAGTGGACCCGAGCGGCCTCCGTGAGCGCACCGCTCCGCGCGCCGGCGCAGTGGACCCGAGCGGCCTTGTGAGCGCACCGCTCCGCGCGGGCGCAGTGGGTCCGGGCGGCCTTCGTGAGCGCACCGCTCCGCGCGCCGGCGCAGTGGGTCCGGGCGGCCTTCGTGGGCTCACCGCTCCGCGCGCCGGCGCAGTGGGTCCGGGCGGCCTTCGTGAGCGCACCGCTCCGCGCGCCGGCGCAGTGGGTCCGGGCGGCCTTCGAGGGCGCACCGCTCCGCGCGCCGGCGCAGTGGACCCGGGCGGCCTTAGGAACCTACCTGAGCCGAAGATCGGGGCAGGGCGTCGCGGACCCCTCCGCCCCGAGCGGAGCCGCATGCCCTGGACGCTCCTCGCTGCGGTCTGCGACGGAGAACCCCGGGGTTCCCCAGCAGTTTCCCAGTTTAACATTCATCTGTGACAGAATGCACGTTTTCCTTTGGGACGGCGGTGGGTGCCCCGGGGCTGGGTTCCCAGATCCCCGCGGGCGCAGCTGGAGCACCGGGAGCCCGACCACGCCCGCGCGCTCCCGGCCCGGACCTGGGGTGACGGAGGGAAGGTCCCGGCCCCGCCCCCCTCCGCTGGGTTGAAACTGACGCCCGGGCAGAACCTGCGCGGCGCGAGGACACGTGGCGGCGCCGTGGCGGGGTGGGGTGGGGGCCGGGCGGGCCGCCCCCACGTCCTCCGACACGGGTGACGGCCTGAATGAGGGGGGCCCGGGATCCTGGCACTTGCAGGCTCTTGTGCGGTGGAAGCGTCATCACAAGCCTGCCAGGGGCGGGGTACACTCACAGCGCCCCAGGTGCAGTGCAGACACAGGCCGCGGGGCTCACCTGTGCAGGTCTGCGGCCAGCAGGCGCCCGGGCTGGGGCCTGACCGGTATCCAGGCCTCCTCCTCATGTCGCTTCAGACCCTCAGGAGTAGGTGGACGCAGGTCTTCCAGCGCCAGGAGACCGAGCAGGGGGACCTCGAAAAGCGAACGGGGTCGGGGAAACGTGGTTTGAACCCGCGTTTTTAGTTTCCGGTTGAAAGTGGCAAGCCCGAGTTGGGTGGGGATTGAGGCCGGCGTGGCAAACGGGGGCAGACGGTTTCCACAACTGTGTACCCCACGTTCTGTAAACATTCTGCATTTCTCCCATTCCCGCAAAGTGAAGTTGGATGAGAGCTGTCTCTGTCGGTACCATATATGCTCAGTGATGATAAAATGTACTTAATTAGGAGAACCTAGACCCCCCCCCACTTGTTTCATGCCTCAAATGAGAATAAAGCTGGGCACTAGCTAAGGTGGGAAGGATAAACTTGCTTCCGTAACTCTAGCCATAGGGAGGAACGTCCAGGTGAACTAAACTCAGCTTTGGTTGGGACAGAGGTAACCGGTATTTTGAAGGGAGAATAAGGAACTGGGACATTTGAGCACAATTAAGGAAGTGGAAATTTACAGAGCAGGGGACTGGTCAGTCTGATTTGGGTTTGTTAAGAGGCAGTTATCTGGAGGAGAACCAACTTCTCTCTTTATGAAGGAGGCAGTGTTGCAAGTTCGAGCAAGATTAACTCCCCAAGCTGGGAGAGTTTACCTCCTTGAGTGTTGACATTTCAAAGAGACCAGACCGTTCTGGGTGGTAAAAGATTTTACACCTCAAAGGTAGAGAGAAAAGATTTATCATTGTGAGCTTTCTAAAGTAAACTGCTTTAAAAGGGAGCTCAGGAGGCTGGTTTGCCTATCACCAGGTTGTGGCTGGAAGGACCTGGCAGGTTGAACTTTGTCAGGCAGGCACTTTAAAGGGGGCTGGGTCGCCTGGCTGGTGTGGCTCAGTGGTTGAGCGTTGACCCATGCACCAAGAGGTTGCCAGTTCGATTCCTGATCAGGGCACATGCCCAGGTTGTGGGCCCGATCCCCAGTTGCAGGCATGCAGGAGACAGCTAGCTAATTGATGCTAATCGATGTTCTCTCTCATCGATGTTCCTATCTCTCTCTCCCTTGTTCTCTCTCCAAAAATCAGTAAAGAAAAAAAAAATTCTTTTAATTAAATAAAGGGGGCCGGGTCATCTTAGGGCCACTGCCTTGAGCGTCTGGAAACTCTGCTAGTGTTTGTTCAGGTCTCTCAGTGTGACAAGAGTTTTGACCAGGGTTTGGTCAAAGGAGAGCATCTTTGTCACCTACTGGAAACCTTGTGTCCCTGTCAGGATGCAGAGCCAAGGCCCAGATTGCGCAGCCAAGCTGCCGTTCTGGGCACAGAGGGACGAATGTCCTGTGCAGCAGCATCTCTGGGTTTCTGATCCGAGGAAGGAAGAAGCCACACTCACCACATCTGCTCTTGGATTGTGAATGACTTTCTCTCATACCGTATTTAATGCTTCTGGTAGTGATGCCAGGGGGCTCATGGGGAGGCCCGGGGAGGTCTCCACCCTGTGACAGTGTCCAGGTTCTTGTCGCTGCGCAAGACAGTATTCAAGAGGGAGAGAGATTTAGCAAAGCATAGCAGGTTTATTAAAGTGATAGTACACACTCAAGGAGGAGAGAGTGGGCAAACTCGGAGGGAGTGGGGTCTGGGTGGCAGTTGTCATCAGCTGTGGGCAAGGGGAGGGAAGGCAGGTGGTTCGTGGTCTCTGAGGCTGGGGGAGAGGTGGTCATCATCACAGTTCATCTCAGTCCGTCCTTTCCGGAAGGTGGCCTGGTGATGTAGAGGACGGAGCGCCTTCAAAACTTCGTCGTAGGTCACCATGGCTGCCAACTCTGGCTGAGACCGGTTTTTATTTCTTACCCCGGGAGGGGAGCCTCGAGGGGACAGGTGTCTAGCCACAAGTCACATCCGCAGTGTTTTCACTTAGAAGGGGAGGGAGGGGGTGGAGCCCAGGGCCTCTTCCCTGTGCTAACGTTCCTGCCTCGGTCACATACAGCCCGTTACCAGGAATCAGATGCTTGATGCTAATCTCACTCTGAAGAAGAAGCCTGTAGTCGGGGTAACACGTCCTACAAGCAAGCATGCCTGGAAGAAGGGCTGCTTGTTTGGAATTGGTCTCAATGCCTGAGACTTGAGGCCCTGCTCACTGTTGTCCTGCCTTGCTGGGGAGATGGGGAGACGGGGAGGAGAAGGCGAGCGAGGAGCAGGAGGCTTCGTGAAGCTGTAGCCCCACACCCCTGAGCTCCTGCTCCGAGCTCCTCTGAGGTCTGACCTGAGTCAGACCTGCCCTCCTGGCCCTGCTCCAGCTCTGCCCACTGTGTGTGGGTCTGTGTTGTAACCCTGTCACATTATGACCACGGTGTTTACGTGTCTGACTTCCTCTCTGTTGAGTGGCTTCCCCCAGCTCAGGGCGTCTCCGTCACCTCTGACTGCTGATCTCCAGGCCAGTGACCCAAGAGGACAGAGGTTAAGTGTTGCTTGTTAAATGAATGAAGCCCCCTGATGTGTGGAGTGCAGACTGCTCCTCTGTACGTGAAACAGCCTGACATGAATCAGGGTCTCCAAGGCACCTTCCAGACCTCAATCTGTGAGTCCTCGAACCTGGGGTCGGAAATATTAAGCAGTTGCTGTCTAGGTTTTCAGCCGACGTCAGCCATGCAGATTCTGCTTGTCTGGTGGGGCCTGGCTGCCCCTGGGAAGGCTCCGTCCTCGGACTCTGGCAGGGCCAGGGCTGGGAAAGCAATGCGCATGTGTCACCCCACCGCCCGTTCACCTTCACTTCAGACTCCACGTTTACGAATCAACCAGTGAGTGCTCTCTGTCAGCCCAGGGAGCAGGGGTCGATCTTGGTTTCATTTTATGTTGTTGTTGTTGTTAATCCTCACCCGAGGATATTTTTCCATTGATTTTTAGAGAGAGTGGAAGGGAGAGAAAGGGACAAAGAAACATCGATGTGTCTTGGGAGAGACACATCAACTGGTTGCCTCCCGCACAACCCCGACCAGGCCTGGGAATCAGACTTGCAGCCCAGGTATGTGCCTTTGACTGGGAATCAAACCTGGGATTCTCTGGTCCTCCGGCTGATGGCTAAGCTAAACCGGCCAGGGCAAGGGACTGATCTTGAACCTCAGCGTCTGGGTGATACATCCTGTTGGTAAACTGAACTTGTCACATACAGAATAACGCTTCGTGAGAGAAGATTCATGCGTTGTAAATGTAGCCTCATTGCCCAAGTGCTTTGCTTCAGACCCGGCTGTATTCCCTCTGCAGACACTGGTTACAGTGACATGTCCGTTGCACAGGATGTAGAGAGGTCTTCAGCAGGGACCCAGTGAGCGAGCATTGGTCCCTGAGGTGGAAATGTCACTCAGTGGCCCAGCCCCAGGAGCTCTGCGGGAAGTCTTGACAGAGAGCGAGGAGCTTGGAGTGTGCCGAGCAGTAGGTTGGGATTTGCTCTCAGCACGGGTGTGGCTTCCCACCGGACGTCACTCCTCAAGGGGACGTTTTGAACCCCGCTGCACCCGGGTTCTCGTGGATGGTGGCCCTGGACTCTTCCAGATTCAGAATTTGGTTCTTGTACTTCTGCTTCCAGTCGTCCACGATGTACTGGTGGTAGGGGTCGTTGGAGTGCTCCTGTCTCTTGGACTTCACCGTGCTCACCAGGATGGCCACGACGATGAAGGAGAACATGCCGATCATCACCATGAGGTACAGGATGACGTAGTAGAAGTTCTCGGCGTCCACTTTGGCCTGCAGGGCGTCTTGCTCCGCTGTCATGTTCCTGCGCCAAGTGTCCATGTAAGTGATGAAAATCCTTCTGAAGGCATCTTCCAGGGTCTGTGTCAGGTTGGACAAAGTGGGCATCTTTCCCTCCTGCAGCAAGGTCAACGGTACACGGATGAACAAGGTTAGAAACATGATCCTGTCTGCATCTGGCTGGGTGAGGGACAGGAGGAGGGGCGAGAGGGGAGAGGGAGATTGCTCCTTCCCCGGCTGGAGAGCGACTCTGCAACTTTGTTACTCTCTAACTTTCCCAGGCATTGTTTTGCATGCACGATATCTGATAAAAATTCAGTGGGGGACATAAAACTATACATAGTATGATCCCAATTTATATATGTAAATAAATGTATACATACATGTCAAAATGGAAAAAAGGTCTGGAAATAAATAGTTCAAAATGTTAATAGTAGGTGTATACTTAAAGAAAATGTTTTCACCCTGGCCGGTTTGGCTCAGTTAAAGCTTCAGCCCGAGGACCAATGAGTCACAGGTTCGATTCCCGTCAAGGGCGTGTACCTCAGTTGTGGTTCGTCCTGGCCCTAGTTGGGGTCGTGCAGAAGGCAACCTGATCATGTGTCCCTCTCATGTCGACGTTTCTTTCTCTCTCTCCCCCCCTATCTGAAGATAAATGGAAAACTGTCCTCAGATGAGGATAAAAGAAAAGAAAATTTTTTCTTTATACTTTCTCATGTGTCAAATTTCCATCAATACGCTTGCATGACTCTGTTTTGAGACAGGTGAGTACCCTCGCACAGTCAGCGTAAGGCCTTGTCTAGAGCAGGACCTCAGCACGCCTTAGCCCACGCGTGCTCCGTGCTCCCAGCACGCCTTAGCCCATGTGTGCTCCGTGTTCTCAGCACGCCTCAGCCCACGTGTGCTCCATGCTCTCAGCACGCCTCAGCCCACGCGTGCTCTGTGCTCCCAGCACGCCTTAGCCCACGTGTGCTCCGTGCTCTCGGCCCGCCTTAGCCCACGCGTGCTCCGTGTTCTCAGCACGCCTTAGCCCACGCGTGCTCCGTGCTCTCGGAGACTGTAGGGTGGGAGGTTGCAAAGGTGCACTGAAGGCCTTTGGCGTTTGTGTCCGATCCTAAGTCTAGGTGGTATTTTCCAAGGCTACCAGTGGGGTGACTACATACATTCGTATCTGAAAGCAGTGTTTTAGGTGAGTGACACAAAGAAACAACCTGAGATGGCAATTGTGTTTCTCAGCCAGCTCCTGTCCACCCTCACGGTCACCGCCCAGCCACCGGCATCTCTCACCTGGGTGATGCCACACAACCCTCCTCCACGCCATCTCCTCGAGGTCCCATCGACCCTCTCTGCCCTGCACAGCAGTCAGCGTGCTCTTTGAAAGAGGGAATGACATCCTAGCATTCCCTTGATTTTTACAGTGAGGCGATGCCTTCCCGGTGTTCTCAAAATCGAGTCCTAGTTCCTTCGGGTTCACCTGCCCCGACCCCCCCCCCGCGCTCCGCCCTCACGACCTCGGCCCTTCTCCTTCCCTGCCCCTCCCCTCCCTTCTGTGCGTGACAGCCGCAAGCAGGGGACACCGCAGAGCTGTGGCAGGCGTGGACAGCACCGGGGCTGGGAGAGTGGCGCTGGCCGCGGTCCGGCCGTGGAGCAAGCAGCTGGACCGGGGACCGAGCGATGGAGGCGGGAGGAGCCTCGAGCGGCAGGGGCCTGCAGGTCCTCCCACGGACAGAAGCCTGGACGACTAGACACGGGCTTGCCGGGTGCCCTCTGAAAGCAGCGTCTCCTCTCTTTAAGGTGCACCCTTCCCTTCTTCCGATGGAAGGCATGTTGCAGATCTTCCCCCTGGGGAAGGGGCTCAAATACACCCCGGGACTTTCCCCACGTTCCCCTCACTGCGAGTCACTGTAACCAGGCGGTGTGTTTCTCAGTCTGATAGTTTAGGTTCTGTTGTTCAGAGGACTCTCAGGTCTTTCTCGCCCCCTCCACTCAAAGCCTGGTGCGTTGAAAAGAACTCTAACAGCCCTGGCCGGTGTGGCTCCGTGGTTAGAGTGTCGGCCCGCAGACCAAAGGGTCGAGGGTTCGATTCCGGTCAAGGGCATGTCCCTCGGTTGCGGTTTGTCCCCGGCCCTGGTCAGGGTTGTACAACAGGCAGCCAGTCAGCGTGTCTCTCTCACATCGATGTCTCTCTCTCTCTCCCCTCCCCTCTCTCTCTCTCTCTCTCTCTCTCCTTCACACTCTTTCTGAAGCTAAATGGAAAAATATCCTTGGGTGAGGATTTAAAGAAAAACAAAAACAAACCTAACAAATAGATAAGATTGCCCCAAAATACGTGCCAAGTGCATTTCCTAAGCAATGTTACAGACGTACTTTCCCCTTAAATAATGCAGTTTGCTGGGAGAAGGTGGAGCCAGGCTGGTTTTGATTTGGCTCGAGACTTCACCACCAGCTCCGTAACCCCCGAGGAGACAAAACCTGCTCATGTGGGGGTTGGCACTGGCTTCGTCATTGCAAACACCCCGCCACCTCTGTGCTGTCAGGTGTGTCCGGCCAAGGGGCTGCCCAGGGGCACGTCCCCTGCCAGGGCCCCCCCCTCCCCGTCTCCTTGGCCCTTCCCCACCCTGCCTCCTCCGGCCCTTCCCACGCCTCTCCCAGTAGCATCCCCAGTAGCCTTGGCAGCCTGATCCCTTGCTGTGCCCTCGAGAGAATCCCACTTCTCTTTGTGAAGCCACAGAAATGACTGAAAAGGGACCCAAGAGCTCAGTTTACAAAGTACCGGTTTGGGGGTGGGGTACGGAAGAGCCCCCGGGTGGGTGCTAAGTGTGGGCGGGTCCTGAGCCGCAGTGCACCTTTGAAGCGGTGACCGGGTGCACTGGGCCCCCTGAGGCCCTGCCTTGTGTCCGGTTCCCCCAGAGAGGGGCTGGCTTTGCAGATTCCTGAGTCATCGTCATGGCTCCTGGGCCCGGGTGTCTCTTTCCCGGGCCGCGTGGGTTCCTTCAGAGGACGTCCTCCGAGAGGAGGCAGTATATAGGTCCCAGTGCTGCAGGAAAGGGCAGTGGACCAGGCCGTGCTCACTGTCAACACCGTTCTGTGGATATTTTCATCAGAGCAACTCATCGCTTTTCACCACCTGTGAAAATCCAGGCTAGTGTGCAGTTAGTCCCTGTTCCTCCAGGGCTCGGAGAGAACTTGGGACACAGGACAGGTGCCCGTGTGCTTCCCAAGGTCATCCAGGACAGGGAGCCTCCAGGGAATGGGAGTGGGGCCCTTTAAGTCCTAAGGGGGAGGGGGAGGGGCCCAGGAGAGAGGAGAGACCACTGAGGTCATTAGCCTTCTAAACGACTGTCCCTGCACTGCCCCGCAGAAGAAGAAAGACTGCGGTTGCCGCAGGGCAGAGGAGCTGAGTGTCTTCCACGCACAAGTGGCTGAATTCTCTCGTCTTGGAAACCCAGGTCTGGGGACACCTCGCCCACAAGCTTTTCCCCAACCTCCAGGCTGGCTCGGAAGTCCCTTCCGGGCTGCTTCTGCAGGCTGCCAGGCCCGCTGGTGGAGGGTGTGCTCATTCAGGGCGCGGGAGACCCGTGACAGGGGGGCTACCTCCTCCGTGGGGCAGAGGAAACGGATGTTTAGAGAGCCAGTCACTGGAACCTGATCCCAGGACAGCTCGCGCCCGGGGCAGGGTGGCCTCATCGCCCTGGGTCCCGGCAGACACGGGTGAAGGACCGAGTGCGCCTCCCTGTGCGCTGCGGGACTCTCTGGAAACCGCTGCAACGGGGATTTTAACTTGTTTGCGGGGGGCGGGGGGGTTCACAGATCCCTTGAAAACTGAAATAAAACAATCTCATTTTATGTTTCCTCTGAAAAGCGTGCATACGCACACACGAAGCTCTCCATTTAGTTCCAGGGGACTCCGGGGCCCCCTAAGCCCATCCCCGAATCTCCGCAATAAAATGCCTCAGTCCTTCAGCGCCGAACACCACGGGTCAGTCGGGTTGTTCCAAGGCGTGGGCACCGCCCCGCTGGCTGGCACTGCCGGCTGTGTGTTCAGCTCTCCTAGCAGGGACACCTACCCACCACCGAGCAGGTCAGGAGGGGTTGTTTTTTTGGTCTTTTTTTTTTTATCCTTGCTAAGGAGATTTTGTTTCTGCATTTTCTTCAGATAGAGCGGGAGGGAGAGAGAGAGAGAAACATCAACATGAGAAAGACACAGGGAGTGGCTGCCACCCACACGACCCCAACCCAGGTCAGGGACAAACTGAAACCGAGGTACGTGCCCTTCGCGGGAACCGAACCCGGGCCTCTCTGGTACATGGGCCGATGCTCCAACCGCTGAGCCAAACCGGCCAGGGCCAGCAGGTGCCTTTTGATAAGACTTAAGCACAGTGGAAAGGGCCCCTGGGGATTTAGTGTCTACGGGTGGGCCCCTGGCCAGGCTGAAAGGTGGCGTTCGGGGTGAGGGACTGGGACGCGGCTGAGGCTGTCTGCTCCGCGAGCCAGGGGACAGCCGGCTCCGGTGTGGGAAGCAGTGCACTGGTGGACACGCGCGGATGAGCGAGTAGATCACAGCTGGGACTGGGATAACTCTTGAACCCAGACGGTGACCGTGCTGGGGACACGCACTCACCCTCTTCCAAGAAGGCAGCCCTGGCCGTGTGACGCGGTGGTTAGAGCGTCAGCCCTCGGGCCAGTGAGTCGCGGGTTGGATTCTGGTCCAGGGCACGTACCTCAGTTGCGTTTCATCCCCGGCCCTGGTCGGGTCGTGCGGGAGGCAATCTATCACATTGATGTTTCTCTCTGTCTCTCTCTCCCTCCCTCCAACTTTATCTGATGATAAATAGAAAAATATCCTCGGGGGAGGAATAAAAAAAAATAATGCGAAGGCAAATATTCTGTATGTTCTGTTAAACCACGTTAAATTGCCCTGTATATAGGTTAAAAAGGCCGAATATCGGCAACTTGGTATGGTTCAACCTGGTATATGTGGACCTATATTTTTGGTTTTCGACCAAATGGAGATTCGAGAAACTTTTGTCTCGGAATCCGAACAAATATTTGGAACTCGAACTTCCGAGATGAGCCGAATGGCGTTCATTCGGCCCAGCGCGCCTTGCTCGCGTCATCAGTGTGAGTGCAGAGAGAGAGTCACGCTTTGTGGAGTCCGCTTTCCTATTGGTTTCATTGCTTCGGTTCTCGAACAATTCGGTTCTCGACCGTCCTCCTGGAACGAATTATGTTCGAGAACCGAGGTATCACTGTATTTTATTTTATTTTTTATTTTTTTATCCTCACCCGAGGACATTTTTCCATTTTTTGTACAGATAGAGTGGGAGGGAGAGAGAGAGAGAAACATCGATGTGAAAGGGACACATCGCGTGGCTGCCACCCGCACGACCAGCCAGGGCCGGGGACAAACTGCAACCGAGGTACGTGCCCTTAGCGGGAACCGAACCCGGGTCTCTCCGGACCGCAGACGGACACTCTAACCGCTGAGCCAAACCGGCCAGGGCTATTTTTCAGATATTTTCAATAAATAGTTCTTGCTCTAAAACTAACCCAGGGTGGGCCCTTAGAGATCACTGCGATCATATACAACAGGTGGAATAATTATAGCCCACCGAGCTTAAACCCCCTGTCCAAGGTCACCGGGCTGGCGCGCTGGCCACAGTGCTAAGACAAGAAACGCAAATCAGCCAGGCAAGTGCCCAGCACCCGCCCTGTCCCAGCAGAGGCCACACATTCTAATAACTCCCTGTTTTCCTCTGCTGGGGATGGTCAGCTAACCTGGACAAACGAGACCAAGCCGTGGTTGGAGCTCAGGTACACCGATGAGCTACCTGTTCCCTGTCTTCGGTCTGTCTCCAGCCGTGCCTGTCACGGTGTGTGCCCTTCAGTACGAGAGCAATCTGTCGCCATGAGTGACACCCACTTGACCCCCAAACCCGAAGTGCTCTTCCCCTGAAAGATGGGATGTTGTTAGCATCATCCAGGCCCACAGAAGGTAACAGTCTTTTATTTGCATATAAAGAATAGAAAAAGATAAGATTACCTACATTTCCCATGAAACTCCTGTAAAAAAACTTTCAAAATGTTCATCCAAAAGCAATCACTGAAGAAACGAGGAAAAGACTACCAAACGAGGAGGGAGAGGAGCAAGAAAGCGAGCGAGCGAGAGAGCCAGGAATTATAAAAAATATTTCCTTTTATTATTTTCCGGCAAAGGAAAATAGATTTGTTACTTAATTCCTCCAAAAAAAAAGCAAAGCAAAGCAAGTGTCTGTGGCAGAAGCGTACCTGTGAAGGGCGCGGGACCCTTGCTGCAGAGCCGGGCTCTGGACGGTGCTGCTGGGACGCGGGCTCGAGGACTGCAGCAGACCTCGGCCGCCGGGCACCTTCCCTGAGCCCTTGCCAACTGCGGCCACAACCCTAGGCTTTTTTGAACCCCAATGTTTAATCTAATCTTATGCGGAAAGTTAAATACTGAGTGGCAGCTGGGAAATAACCTCGGTGCCCGATGGGGTGTGCCCGCCTGGAGCATGGCACTGGGCACAATTGCACAAGTTCCCTCTCCGGGTCTTGTGACGCCAGCTCCAGCCAGGACAATGCCTGGGCACAGGGAACCACCCCCTCCAGGAGGAGTCAGCACACAGCGCTGTTCCCCGAGGAACCCGGGCAGGGCGAGCGTGTCCCAGAGACCGAGGTGGCTGTGGCCCTCTCTGGGGGGTGGGGGTTCAACAAGGAGGCCCGTAGGATCGGAGGCAAGCGCCCCTATTCCGACCACCTCCTCATAAGCCAAAGACTGTTGAAACAGTCCTGTCTGGGACAATTTCCAAAGACCTCAAAAGAGCTGAAAAACTCTATTTACCTAAAGAGCCTTCTCTAGCAGAGTGGGGTCCTTGCCACTGGGCAGGGTGGGGCTTAATGAGGGCGACACTTAGGAGGCTGATCATGTGCCAGGCTCTTCTCAAACCCTTGTGCCGGTGTCATGTCATCGTTGCCAGGGGTCGAGAGGTCAGGGTGAGTGGAGGAAGAGCCAGGGTTGGAATAGAATCCAGAACGCGGCTGTAGACAGTCCACGCCAGCAAAACCACCTGAAGGTCAGAGGGGCCGCTGCTCTGGGACGGAGCCATGCAAAGGGAACTTGGCTTAACAGTTGGACTTTCTCGTTAAACGGTGCTTTGAACAGCGTGGTTTGAAGTCCACGGCGGGTGGGAGGGGGCAAGAGGAGGATGAATGGGATTTCGAATTGTCTACAAATTGTGGGGGTTAACGTATTGGGCATTATCAGAACGCATACAAGGGTCTCTGTCACTCTGCAGCAACTCCTCGTGACCCCATCTGGCCTGGCAGATCGCCCTTCCCCAAACAAGAACACGCAAACCCAACCAGAAAGGAGCGGTCTGATGGTCCAATTGGGCTGAATCGGTCACTCAGAGGGCTCTCCGGAAATCTGCTGGGGAGACTGTGCCACCTGCTGGTGGAAACAGGGAACAGAGGCCCATCGCCTCACTCCCAAAGCAGCCTTGGCTCTTCCCCTCCTGCGAAGAAGACTAGAATCCAAGCGGGCACAAGTGTACACGTAGGTAAGTAGAGGCAGAACTGGAAGGTATTAGATCCTGGAGGCTGAGCGCGTGGGTTTGAGGCTGACAACCACGCGGGCCGGTGACTCAGCGTTCCTGAAATGTGGGTCCTTCCTCTGTGAGATGGAGAGAACACGCGTGCCTACCTCGTGGGTCGTCCTCAAAATTAAATGAGGTAGCGGATATAATGCGCCGCGGACAGAACCTGGCACATGGCAAGAGTGAGTGCCCTCTACGGGTCAGCTGCTGCTGTTACTTTGAAGAGGAATCCGCACAAGCACACGGCAGGGAGAGGGGTCTGGGCGAGACCTCACCAGGGAGAAGAGAGGTCTCGCACCTGGACAAGGGGGACTCCTGCCTGGCTTATTTTGATTTCTTCCCATTTCATAATTCTTTTAAAATTCCATTTATTGGGGGTGACACTGGTTAATAAGATTGTGTAGGTTTCACGTGTACGATTCTGACACACCACCTGCATATTGCATTGGGTGCTGCCACTCACACTTGGTGGCTTGTCTTTAGATGGCTCTTCCCCATGCCTGGCACACAGTCACACGGCTGGAATCAGACGGGTGCAGGAGCAGAGTGACCCAAGGCTCAGCTATGGGCTGGGCAGGCAAGCGGAAGGGGACAGCGCTGTTTCGTGTTCCCCCGACAGGCCCCTTGGCCTCTGCAGAAGGCTCCCGACAGGTTCACTGTGCACTGTCCCCAACGGGAGGGGGAGATGGTACCCGCCCGGAACGCAGGGGATGCAGTGGCCAACGTTCTCTTTGGAGACCAAAGGGAAGCCCAGGCTCACAGAGCTCGTCTGCCTACACCTGGACACCTTTCAAAACCCAGGAAGCGGAGTCTGCTTTGGATCTGAACTGGGATGTGATTCAGTTGGCTATCCGGTCCTGACAAAGCCCCAAATTCCTCCAAAGGAGAAGACTGTTCAGAATTGAGCCTGCCTTTCAAGCTGTTGTTCCTCGGGCCCTGCTGAGGATACAAAGCAACCAGCCAGCAGGACCCTTCAGGGGAGCACACCTGCTAGGGGCAGGTGCGGGAATGCAGGGGGAGGGGTGGTCGCTGGAGATCTCCAGAGGGTTGCTGCCTCTCTGCCTCAGGCTGAGTCTGCCAGGAGACATCTTCATGGTCTTTGTCTGTTGACCTCCTGTCCTCACAGGTAACCCTGTACCCTCCTTGCTCTGCCGCAGACTCCAGCATGATTGCACCACAGTCCAGGGTTAAATCCAGCTTCGGAGTTGGCGCCGTTATGAGGAAAGAAATGTCGCTCTTTGATGACCCATGTGGTGAGCTGTAATTACCTCTCTCCTATACGAGTTTTTCTTTTTCATGGAGTGAATAATAAGGTCCCCCCCCCATTTACTTAGCTAGCTTTGAACCTCTTCCCATCCCCCTCAATGGCTCAGCATCATCATTCATTAGGGAAATAGAACTTGCAACCACGACGAGATACTACTACACCTACTAGATTCGCTAAATTGTAAAGACTGACACCACCAAGTGTCGGCAAGGAGGAGGAAGCACTCCTACGCCGCTGGCGGGAATGCAAAATAGTACAGCACTTGAAACACTTTGGCAGCTGGTGTGGCTCAGTGGTTGAGCATTGACCCTGCACCAAGAGGTTGCCGGTTTGATTCCCGGTTTGATGCCCAGGTTGTGGGCCTGATTCCCAGTGGGGGGCACACAGGAGGTGGCCAATCGATGTTCTCTCATTGATGTTTCTATATCTCCTTCTTCCTTCCTCTCTCTCTCTCTCTCTCTCTCTCTAATATCAATAAAGAAAAATAATAATAAACAAAAAAATAGAGAAAACAATTAAAAAAAAATGACAGAAACAGTTTGGCTGTTTCTTAGACAATAGGCCCCCAACAATAGCACTTCGAGGTATTTACCCAAGATAATTGAAAAAAGTATGTTCACACAGACTTATACATAACTTAAATAGCATTCAACAGATGAGTAGGTAAACAAATTGTGGTGCCGCTATCCAACGGAGTATTCCTCGACATACAAAGGAAAACACTGACAATAAATGCAACGACATAGATGAATCTCAAAAGCATCTGACCAAAAAAGTCAGACGCAGAAGAAATTAACCTGCATCATTCCTTTTCTAGAAATTCCAGACAGGATAAAAGTAATCAATCTCTATAATGAGGGAAAGTAGCTCAGCCATTTCTTGGGGGCAAGAGGGGGGTTTGAGAGAGAATTTTCTGAGTAACTGAATCTTCTTATACTTTGATTATGGTGGTGGTTACCTGGGTGTACACATTTCTCAAAACTCATCGAACTGTACACTGAAAATGGGTGCGTGTCATTTCATGTGAACTGTTCCACAATAAAGTTCACTTCTTCAAAATCCTCATTTCTGTAGGTGTCACTTTAAATCTCCGGCCCACTACTCTTCTCTGACCTTCAGACTCAGGTGTGCAGATGCTCACCTGACAGTTCCACCTGGATGTCTGACGGGCATCTTGCCCTCCGTGGTCTCAACAGGATTCTTAGTTCTCCATGAAATATGCTCCTTCTCTGTAGTCAGTCACTACCACCCTTCCAGTTTCTTAAGCCAGAACCTAAGAAGTAGCTTTAATTCCCCCCTTTTCCTCACTGTCCACATCCAATCCATCATCAAATGCTGTTGACTCCTCTCATCAAGGACGATCCTCTGCAAGTCCTGAGGGTGGTGCACGATTTTCCCGCTGCTGTGGGACCCACCGGGACCACAGTGACCCGCCCAGCCTCTTTGAAAACCGCATCTCGGCGTCTGTGTCACGAACGTACCCTGGCCGACGGCAGAGAAGAGTCGCACTCCCTCTAATGAGCCAACCAGACCCCTGCTCCCAGAACCCTTCCCTGCTCTGTTCTCTCCTCGTGGCTCGAAGCCTGGTCCCTCTCACTTCTGCCCGGGCCCTGTGAACTAGTCTCCTCTGCTCAGCGAACACTGAGGTCGGCTTTGCTCTTACCGCTCTGCTGGTCTGTGTTAACTTGACACCTCAGAACACAGCCCTGTCGACATGCTCCCTGCCCTCCAGCTTCCCACCCTTTGTCCCCGTCCCTCCACGCGGAGGGCAAGCAGCGTGATCGCTCAGCGCCGTGCGTCCGAGCACGCGAGCCCCTGCCGGAAGCTCCCCGCGGGTCTCCCATCACCTGCAGAACAAAATCCAGCCTCCGCAGGGCAGCCCGCCAGCCACAGAGGACGTAGCCCAGGGCCGCTCCTAGATCCCTCCCCTCCTCACAGCTCCATCCTGCTGCTCTGCGCTTCTGTTTCTGCCTCCGCATCTGTACTGTTTCCCGTTGTTACTGTAACAAATTACTGGGACCTCAGTGCCTGGAAACGATACACATTTACTATCTCAGAGGTTTGAAGGTCAGAAGTCCACAGTGGGTCTCACTGGGCTAAATTCAAGGTGTGAGCAGGGCTCATTCCCTCTGGAGGCTCCGAGGACAATCTGTTTCCTGGCTTTTCCAGCGTCGGGAGACACCTGAACCCCTTGGCTGGTGGTCCCTCCTTGCATCCCTCCGATCTCCGCTTTCCCCAGCCGGCCACTCGGACCCTCTCGCCTTCCCCTCGTAAGGACCTTTGTGACGGCACTTGGCCTGCCCAGATCGTCCCAGAATTCCTCATTTGATCACAGCCGCCCTTCCTTGAGGGGCCGCTCCTCAGCCTGCCACAGCGTCTTCGCCGCGGCTGCTCCCTCTGCCGGGATGCTCCTTCCGCCGGGATGCTCCCTCTGCCGGGATGCTCCCTCTGCCGGGATGCTCCTTCCGCCGGGATGCTCCCTCCGCCGGGATGCT